TTGAGGAATTTCAAGAGTCTTGGATCCTTTTGAGAGACTTTTGGTTATTTTGGACTCTTTTTGGTCTTGTGCTTTTACTCATTTTGCCTCAAGTAAAGAAACTGCCTAATTATTATGTACACTTTGATAGGACTATGACTAGGACTCTAGTCCTAGTCTTATTGGACTAGGACTATGTCCTAGGAGCCATAGGGTAGACTAGGACTCCAGAGTAAAGACTACGACTCTAGTCCTAGGGTAAAGACTAGGATTAGGCCTTAAGTCTTTACACAATGCCAGGAAGAAAAGATGACTGAAATGTCCTGAGAGAATGAGTTGCTGTTTCTTAAGAAAGAAAGGGCTCTAGGATCAATTCCAGACTAATCGAAGTCCATCATGCTTCGGCGAAAAGAAATTATTCCTGAGGGGAAAACATTTAAAAAAGCCGCCAATCTTCCAAGAAGTGGATGTTCCAGCAAATTCAACAATGTGTCAGAATGTTTCTCACCTTCTTACTGAAACAATCTGAGTCTCGTTTAAGCTTGCAAACCCTGTGACTGATCTCTCAAACCTTAAGAATTGACCCATGAAGTGTCTTGTGGACATTGAAGGTCTGTATGAAAACGGATGTTGTCCAACCACATCAGTGCAAGTCGAAAGTCCGACTTCGTTCAAACTCTACAGGTGTATAAAACAACTGAATTCAAATTTAATTAAATTCAAAACACTTTGTTTCCAAATGTAAATTCAACAAAATGATGTAACATTTACTACTTTAGTTCATTGAAAATGTCTTTTCTGCTTGACGGTGTGTTGACACAAACCACCAAGAGACCACCAGTAATACCAGTAAGCAGTTTGTCTCAATCTCCTGAAATGAAACAGACCACAAATAAAAGAAATAAAATAGTATATTTGAGATTAAAACTTAGCAATAATTGCCTGCCTGTTAATTTCCCATTTAGCTCTTAGTTTTTCACAGCTTTATAATTTTAGCTCCTTGTGTTAATACATGCTGGTAATCTTGAATTAGTTAGATTTAAATCATTTTAGCTAATGGATATCACATTTCTGTTGTTATTTCCTCAGTATTAGCTAGTAAGCTAATACTCATGACGGTGAATTTATGGAGAAGTATCCTTGAACCCAATGTAGCCACAGGTCTATGTGTGTTTATATGCACAGGCATTACTTTTAACCTGCCAGTAATAAGTGATTTAGAGGACCAAACTGTGGGCCAAACCGCCACCAGGAGTCAGCCATCACTTGGCTCATGAATCATCTTTGTTAATTGCATTCGTCATCAAATATGCACAAAGGAGTGCTGTACCTACAGAACTGACGGCACTTACAGATATCACCGCCGTGTTTTTCTTTGACACCAACAGACTCCTGGTTCTGTGTTCCCCTCTGTTAGATGTGCTGCGACTTGATATATCGGGTCTTTTAGCCCCCACTTTGGCTCAAATCCAAGGCCCATTTGTACAGATGGGATTTTACGTGGGCCATTTTAGCAAAGCACCCTCCCCATAAAGCCAAAGTGTCTCATCACTTCATAATTGTGTGATTATGGTCAATTGCTGTGGTTGGGGTGACAGATTCTATTTGAGCCCAACAGATGCTTTTATCATATTTTAGATCTCCATTTGACCTTAATCAAGCGTTGCATGTATGAGTAAAACAGGGAGATAATATTTTAGTGATGAGGCGGATCAGGTGGGAGACGCCAAGGCTCTGAGGAAAGATCAAACACAAACAAGTGGCGCACAGAGAGGAATATGAACTGCAGGGGCCTCCAGACTGCAGAAGACTGATGAATTACGCCACCATGTGGGAGGTAGAGTGCATTGCACCTAGAGTGTAACTTATGATCGGAAAGTACATTTAAACTACAATAAACTTGAATTAGATGTCCTTGCGTTAACATGAATTGGGCTTATACTATGTGTTATATTTGTTCAAACCCTTTAATTGAGTTTGCATCATTTCATACATTCCTGTTCTTGAAAGAGCTGTGCTATGGCCCAAAAAAGTAGCAGATTCAAAATAATCATTATTTCTTACTTTCTGTGAAGAAGTGGTGAAATAAATAAAGTTGCTAATCCTTGGAATCTAAAAGCTTAGAAACCAGGTAGACAGGAAAACCTGACCATGGTGAATATTTGCAAACACTCAGCTTATGCTTAACTTCCTTCCTAGTGGTGGCTGAGCAGCTACAGGCAGCTGGGAGCAGAGCATTTAGCTAAACTTAATGTCTCAGACACAACATTTAAAGTGTTAGTATTTAATATCCCGTCTTTCAGTTTTAATAGTAGGTTAATCTTAAGATGCAATACTCATAAGAAGTTTTATGATAATAATCATTAGCTGCACTTATATTACAAATTTTGTGCAAATGTTTGTCCGTTTTCTGCTAATGTAAAAAAAAAAAAAACTTTCGCACTTGTGGTGTTTCATTAAATAAGAAATAAATTAAAACTGCATGTAAATAAGCTTGTTCAGCAATGAATGTAAACAGATCATCATCTACCAGCCATCAGAGGAGATGGCGGCGTCTTATTCAGGCGTTGGCGCAACATTTCCTCGCCTACTGGAGAGCGGCTACGTATACGGCGTTGAGAAACTGTAGTCGGCCATTTTACCGACGAGCTCTGGGTTCAGCAGGTTGGAATGACGTTTTATGAGCTGTGTGATGATTGCTGCAGGTTGTCCGAAAACAAAAACAAAAGTCTGAGAAATAAGTTAATAATTTTGGCTGGTGCAATTTTATTTTATTTACCTGTAAATGCATGCATTTTTTATCTTATTTTGCTCTGATCAGAATTGAGTTATTTTCTTTTACTTGAAATCTGTGCAACAATTAGTTGGCTTAGTAACCATTAATCAGATGGTGGAGTCATTTAAGGTGGATCTGTCATTTGTCTGGTTTTGGGAATGTTTTCCGGTCATTCAGGTGTGGTGAAAACAAAGTAATTATTAAGACAAACTTGGAAATGATCCTAATATGGCCAGACCACAACCTGTTCGCTGTGTTGGCCATCTGGCAGCAGACACAGAAGTAGCTGCTGCTGGGAGATCACCGCCGTTTGTTTCCAAGAGCTGGGGATCATCTTGGCGTTCTCTCCATCAAAGCTTCATATTTAGCAAATTTATTCAGAAACGTAAAACCATTTTTAATTTGATTTGAATGATGATGATTTACCTGCTTACCAAGGAGGAGAGTCTGGCCTCCAGCATCTCCTTCCTGTGGGCCTTCAGACCCAACTTTACCAATTTATATCCAACCAACTTGTACTGACTGTCTAAAAACACTGAAACTTTCCCACAGTTAGCTTCTACTACAGTACAGAATATTATCATTATGTAGTAATATTTACAGAAACTGGTCTGGTAACATTTATTAGGAATACACATCAAATTACTTGTTCTGTATTTTTAGATGCAGATCACGATTTAATGAAGAATAAAATTTAAATAAACAAGAAATAAATGCAGCAAATACATTTAAATAGACTTTTTAAAATTTTTGAGCTCTTTGCTTTTAATGCCACATTTTTATAGCTTTATGTTTTTCTTAATCACTCTCCATAACAGTAGTATTGACTTGTAAATTATTATTTAATCTAGTAAACATTAAGTTATTTATTTTAAGTAGAATTGTATAATAAAGGTTGAGTTATTGAAAAGTCTTAAAGTGCTTTAATTTAAAAATACAACATGCAACCACTGAGCGTTATGCAGTGCAACACAGTTCAGTCTGTTGAAAAAGATCTTTTTACTTTCAATGAGTTTTTATCCAGGTAAATTAAAAGTTTGAAACAAAAAACAAAGACGGTGATCTGGTTATGGCAGACCATCACTAACTAAAACATTAGCTGTGCTAACCCTGAAGCCCCAATCATAAGCATTAGTTTATCTAAACTGAAACACTATACCAGTATAACTTCAATTCAAATGATACAGCAGGTAAAATAAGTATCAACTTTTCATAGTAAACATATTTCTAAAGGTGCAACTGACATAACATTTTCACCAGATGTAACACCCAAGTAATCAATTCATAGAAAGAAACCAAAACTAATAAGTTCAGAAATGAAGTGAGTATGGATGTGAAAAGTCTCGAGGAAAAACACATACTGCTATTTATTTAATATTTACAAAACCCTCTGTTGGTCATGACGGTTTCAAGACGCCTCCTGTTTGGAGAAACTAGTCGCATGAATTGCTCAGGTTTGAGCAACACAGTATCATCTGCTGATACTGTGATGATAATATATTGAACAGCCTTTCTAAGTATGGAAATAGGGGATAACAAAGAGATTTGAATCAGGCATTTTAAATAAAGGAGAAAACCTATCATTCGTTTGTGTTTTTGCTCCCCGCTGAGTTTCTAAAGATTTTAATTGAAATGTAAAATCTGTCTAGAGTGGCAGCAAAAATGACTGTTTGGGGGGCAAAATGAATGTATGTAGCTGAAAATAGACACCAACATCGGTAGCCTACAAGCTACTTGTTAAGCTACAGGTGCTGTATTGATATTAGCTAGTCATCTTTTAGCTAACATTACCTGCAGCTTTACTCACCTCAGTCGGTTAGTTTGGAGGGAAAAACTGTGAAAAGTTCTTTGCGTTTTGCTGCCGTGATTCTAACACAAACCTACGTAGCTCCGCCCAGCAGCAGCAGGTCTCCTTCACAGGAGTAAACCCACCGCGAGCGTCGTAGCGCTCATGTTGCGTTTAAAGGCGGCTCGGAAAAACAGGTTACAACATGTTAACAACGGATTAAACAGTTTTAACTGCTGATAAAAGTGACAGAGGACACTAATATGGGAAGTGTGGAAGCCTCTACTGTATCAAATTGACATAGGTAAATAGGTTCTAAGGTAAAAACCCAGCGCATACAGTGTTCATGTTTTTTTTGTTTTTTTGTTTTTTTCATCCAGACGGCTTCCCGCGCCCCCCCTGCAATGACATGGCGCCCCCCTTAGGGGGCGCGCCCCACAGTTTGGGAACCTCTGCCTTAAGGAAACAGACAACTGAATTTTGGATTGGTAAAATCTAATGGCCTTTAAAAGAAGATGTGACATTTAAAAAAAAGGAAGACATGACACGCCTGCTGGAATGAGGCCTGCAGAGGTCTCATTGTGTAAATGTTGACGTGGTGCAGCAGAAATACAAATAACACCGGATCTCCAGCAGAAACATCTTACTGTTTGCAGAAGCTCAGAGGATTAAAGCCAACAGTGATGGACGTGGACTCATCTTCTGTAATATTTACATTTTCTGGTATTTTCTTCTCCGTCCGCCCCTGAAAGACCGGTGTCTGTGTTTTTCCACTTTCAGAGGCAGAGCTGCTCAGGTAAACGCTGGCCTCCGCGACAGACGGGTGCTCTCCATCTTGCAGCCCCACAAGGGGTTGTTGCAAGACAAATGGCTGTAGGAAGAAGCCCCGCCCATTTCCAGCTGCCTCGTCTCGTGTGGCGTCTCGGCTCGGTTATGCGGTGGGATTCGTGCGGTACGCCGAGTCCCAGTCCACTGCACGCGAACGGCGCGCCATCACTAACCACAAACAACCCGGAGACTCCGCAGCTGAAGTAGACAAGTTTATTAATGATAATAATGAGGATGATGAGGATGATAATATTAATAATTAGTCATAATTATAATAACGTTAATGTCATAATAAATAGAACTCTTCATCTGAAGCACGTAAAGAGAAGCATACAGAAAGAGAAAAAACAAAAACACAAAGTTCAGAGTACAGAGCCAGAGGAGGGGGCAGGGACTTCTAGAGACATTTTTTAACCTTTCAATATATCCATTTAATTTTTTAACATTTTTAAACATTATTTAACTGGAACATTTACAAAAAGGAGAAAGAGATAGAATTTAAAAAATCCCTTATAAATAAATTTTGTCATCATTAGAACAAAATACAAGATTTGGGGAGTCAGAGGATGGTCTTTTTTTTCTTTTTGACGTATTTTTTTGTTCTTTTCCCCCTGAAAGGACAGCTGAAGGAAGTAAGAGACCAGTTGGGGTGAAGGTTATTATGTACAGAACACCAGGAATACAAAAGGGGCCAGTCGACTCACATACTGGAAGGCTGGGATGGGGGGTAGCTATACGGGGTCCGATGGAAGCGAGGGGCATCCTGCGAGTGTCACAGCTCAAGCAGTTGTGCTCAGGAAGATCAGGACCAGTTTTTTAAAACATAAAGGCATCTGAAGGAAGGAAGGGAGGGTCGCCGTACGCCCAACCCCCCTCACTCCATCCCACCGCTACGCTACGGCGCAGGCTGGAGTTTTAGCTCGGCCTTTTTTTGTTTTTCACTGCGTTGGCCAGCGAGCAGAGACAAACAACCACAGCGGGAACAAAACGGCCCTAAAGGTTAAAAACAGGATGGATACCTCACCACTGCTGCTCCAACACTAACATCTAACTACTTCCATTAAAACATTTAAAATCTATTTAGTATTTCTCATATCAACTGGATAAAAATTCTAAGGCAATAAAATTTATCTTTTATACATTTTTTTTTTCTTGGTTTTCAACTGCAGCTCGCATGAGGCTGTGGCAGCTACACACTGTCAACCAGCTCATGGGAGCCGTAGCAGGTAAATGGAAAAAATATAACAAAATACCTTCATGCATTAAGAGCTGTAGTAACCTGTAAGCAGGATGGGACTCTCCATCACATCTCTAAAAGGAGTTTTATTTGCTTTTTTATTTTTTACAAAACCTGCACTTTAAAGTTAGCTGCAAAGCTGCATATACGTCTGAAACGAGTGCTGTGGTAGGAGTGTCATTGGTTCAGTGTTTTCTCTTTGTTTTCGCTGTGAACTGTGGATCAGAATGAGCTGTAGGTAAACATCAGGAGAATACGCAGAATGGCAACATTGCACACAGCCCCTATTTTCTATTCCTACGTCTACAACAGTTAATACGAGAAACAAATCAAGATCGGTTCATTTGTTTTGCACAAGTTACTGCAAATGTTGCTATTCTCAGACCTCAAACTTTTTTTTTTTGGTTTGCATAAACTAAAGAAGAGGCAGCTTGATCTCTGACATGCTTTTTTTTTTGCATCACTGTTCCAAAGTAATGCTACGTCCTTTGATTTGAAACAAAATAAATAAAAACACGTTTAAAAAGGTCAAACCCAAACAGATACACAGAGCTTCATAGTTCCCCCTAAAGAAAAACACATCAACGCCGCTGCAGGAAGTGAAATGTCCACATCTGCTGCCACAAAAACTCACAACAGCACCTTTTGTGAATTCATCCGCTGCTGAAAATAGTCCCCAAGGAAATGCACTTGAGCTCACTTACTATTTGAGTAACATTTGCTAAAAACTACACTTTTTTGTTTAGTTTTTTTTTAGTTTGTAAAAACAGTATAACTAAGTCAGAGATACTGAGACACACACATTTTTTTCACTTTTTCTCAAGATTTGTTGACAAAACTAAAACACGCAATAATACCAGCGTCATCCCGTCAGATTTGATCTGCTAGTAGCTAACTAGAATAAGTACACAACAGTGTTCTCTCAGAAAATGTGCCCATCACACATGACATCAAGTGTTTTTGTTGCAGTATGCATAGATAATTCAGTGGACGAACTCCAACTATGTAACAAAAAGGAGGAGGAAACAAACTGTGGCTCTTTATCTCTGGCTCCCTGGAAGCTCCCGGCAAACTAAAACTCCAACCTGCTCCTGAGTTTCCTGACCCACCTCCAGTCTGCGGAGCTGAAAGTAGGCCAGAACAATCAGTTGACTCTCAGAAACAAACCAACAGGTATGAAGATGCTAAATCTGCAGATGAAAACTGTATGGGAGAACAAATGACCGACTTTACCCCAATTAGACTTCACAACAGTTAGTTGCCATGATATAGATACTCTGTAATATATGGGAGGCTGTCTACAGATGAGCAGAGGTCGCGTGGGTAGGAGCCCTGATTCAGAACAAGTCTTTTTTTGTTGTTATTTTTAACCTGAAAGAAGATGAAGTTAATCAAGAAGTGTGAGGTGAGATTTACTGTACAGAATATTAACAGTACACTGTGTAGTTTTGTACAGGAAGTCAGAAGCTTAATCTTTTCTTTCCCTCTTCACAAACCACCACTAACCAAGTAGCATACCCTGAACTCTCAAACTAAGTTGTGCTTCACCCAAACCTGCTCACCTCTGATTTAAAAACAAAAAAAGTAAAAAGTTTCTCCTCAGGGCCAGCAGGTTATATCCAATATGCAGTAAAACCAAGCGGCCGCCCGCCCATCGGGGTCAGCGTGAGACCGGTGCTTCGTAAACCGAGGCCGCCACAGGAAGCTGTGAGCCGGCCTCCTTCAGCGCAGCTCGTTAAAGCGGCTGAAGAGCAAGCGCTTCCTCTGCAGCCGTGACTGAATGAAATCTGGGTCACGTCGATACGCATCCAGGCTCCGCCGTCATCCCAGAGTCCCGCTGTCTCCTGATCAAAGAGCACTGAGTCTGCGCCTTCAAATCATACTTTGGTTCAAGTAAGAAAGAGAAATCAATATTCATAAACTTTTTACTACACCTTGCGCTAATTAGGAAGTCTTTGCAGCTCCAGTGAGGGGTCAGAGTAACTGCAGATGTAAACCGTTGTCTCTGAAGGGCCGGCGGGTCGGTGAGGAGGCGGGATGTGACGCTTTGCTCTGACGATGGCGGGGATGTTGGTCTGCGAGAATCTGCACAGTGCGTGTGTTGGTGGTACGGGTGGGACTCAGGGGAGATCAGTTCACACTATCACCGTCACACTTTCAGTCATATAGCACATGATCACATGTTACAGTAAATATCAGGGACATATTTAGTTGGAGGGGGTTCTGATAACTATGCTCGGGGGGCCGGAGGCTTTCCTGCCACCCCCTCTATTCCCTGACATCACCACAGCCCATATAATAGATATGTATATATATTTATATACAGAAAAAAGAATACATACTTATCGGACACCCTAGACATTAAAATACATTCAAAAACTGAACCGACATTCTTGATTAAACACGTTTACAGTGACTCTCCTGATATAAAGAATTAAGGTTCTGCTTTCACAAAATTAAAACTTTTTTTTTCTGTTCAAAAGTTTTGAGTGCTGAAAAAAAAACAAATATTCTCAGAATACATTGACGAAAGAAATCACATATTTCAGCCCTCGTTCCTTGATACTGTTGGATGGGCACTACTGTATTTCTATAATGTTTTATCTAGCAACACAGTCTATATGCCTCAGGCTTGTGTTTTGGTTATGCACCTGCTGATGTAGTACAATGGGATTACTCGATTATAATTCAATTTGTTACATGGATGGTGATGAGTTATTCTCGTCGGATGGGAACGTGCATCCTTGGTAGTTGTACGCACCTTGTTTTCGTGTTGGTCTGACAGTTCATCCGTCGGTGCAGAGTGACACAAAGGCTTGGGCTCGGAGTCTGGCAGGTGGATAAAGTCAGCGGCTTTGGCGCCATTTTTCTCTAAGTAGTCCTTAAGTCAGTGACCTCTGCTGGGGCGTGGAGAGGGGCAGACGGGGAGGCTCGGCTGTGTACCGTGTCACCGTCCCGCCGTGGCTCACCCCCCCCACTCCCCAAAGCTGTAAACCAGTGACTCTGCCCATTGGGGAGGGCGGGGATGCCCAATGGTGCTGCCAAAAAGGAAGTGACATCACGACAGTATCCACGGGGGACGCTGCTAACAGTAGGCGCTGCGGGCCGACGACGCCACGACAAGGAGGAAGCGGCGGCGTCAACTTCATCGGCCCAAAAAGGAAGGAAGGAAGGAAGAGGGCGGAGTCTCGCGGCTCCGCCCTCAGGAAGTACAGCGTAGAAAGTGCATCTGCCTGGATGCCGAGCTCTCCCTGCCACCTTTTGTTTTTTTCTTTCGTTTCTTGTTTTTAGTTGTATTATTTTTTTTTTTTACACGACCTCGGTGACAGAGCAGTGTGCCATAGAGAGAGGAGGCGGGGGGCGGGGGAGGTCATCCTCCCTCCTCCTTCCTGCATACCACAGAATCAGCATCAAGGGCCAACTGTTCATCTCCCTTACCAAAAAACATAAAAACAGATTTGTACATATATACTGCTTTATACACACGTTTTTTTTTTTTTTTACCATTGTAAATCACAAAAGTATAGAAAAATAAAATGTTTTATAATAACGGGACACTTCCTTCTCTCTCTGTCTTTTTTTTTTTTCTACCCGGCAAAAAGGTGGTCCCTGGTGGAAACTGGCTCACTTCATCTGTCAAGTTTGTGGCTGGTTTGACACCACTGCCGCGGCGCCACTTTGTACGCCTCCCGTCTTCCCTCGCCAGCCTCAGTAGAGGGACTCCTTCTCGTCTTCTTCTTCTTGTGTTATTTTCTTAAAGCTAGTTCTCCTCTCTTCGTTGTTTTCATCTGTGATGTCCATCAATACTGAGTACAGCTCTTCATTTTGTATTTACTAGAAACAGGGGAGAGAAGCAGGGAAAACTGGTAAATACACAGAAAGTGATGATTTGCTGTGATAGATGTGCCAGTTTTCAACATAGCAAAACATGCAACAAACGTACAACAGATATAAATATACAATTTTACAAGGAGGAAAGTTGAGGATGAGGTTTGAGCACAAAGTCGTAACACCCGACATGAACTTTAAAGTTTGGAGAGAAAACATCTTTTGTAACGCAGCATAAAAGAAGCCGCTGCTGGTGCTGCTCTCGCCAGAATAAAGATCAGAGTCAGCTGTAATCATACATGTGGAGATCGGCACTTTGGCGGAGCGCAGTGAGAAGTGTTGGCGTAATGGGGCTGGATGGAGGCGGAGGAGAGCGGGCGTGGTGCGAGGGTGTCGGGCCGTCCCAGGACCCTCGTCACGACAGATGCACACTAATTCGCACTGATCTTCAGCAGCTCAGTGGAGCTTCTGATAAAGAAATGTGGGAATGAAAGAAGATGAGGCGTTGATTTGGAAACGGCTTTGTAGTCCAGCTTCCAATCCGGAGAGACAAACAATGAAGTGGCGTGCTCAGTCAGCATCCATCCATCTCTCTGTTCTTACAGAGGACTGGCCCAGCGTTTCCCCGCCGCTCTCCGTTCCATACCTCAGATTTACTGCACGCTCACTTGGGAGCTGCCATACAAAAATATCCACACGCAGTCTTACAACTCAGCAGGGAGGGAGCACAATGGCGCTGGAGCTACATATAGTCCTCGCTGACAGGCTGCCTGGTCCTGGAAGGACTGCAGACACAAATATATTAATCACACGCAGACTTGAAGGATTCAGGGGAGGGTTAGTTCAGGTGTTAGAGTCTGTGCTTCTTTATGGAATCTGCTAAAGCCCGGTGGGTCTGAGCCATCCAGATACCGTTCTAGAAGGAGGCTGCAGTATTTTCCCTTTGTTTTATTAATTTATAGTCACTAATAACTTTTTATATCTAATCATTAAGTTGTTCAGCAGCCATTAAACTTTTCGGTTCATCGTTATTAAAGCATAGAGCTGCCTTTCCCTGTGCAGTTTAGAGAAATTCATCACATTTTCTTTACTTTTTAAGCGTAATTTTATGCTAATTAATAAACATTAAAGCAATTTGGAGATAAATACATCAACTGCATCATTAACAATGGTTAATGATTGCATTTCGGTCACAATTCAGTTAAATTCAGTTGGAACTAATGGCTCTGAAACCAAGTGATGTAGCGGCCTAGTTCAAGCAGACCCACTATGTGTGGGTCTATGTTATATGTGTGCTTCCTGTTATGGTTGTCATACCAACCATGTTTTACTCCAAATTAATTTCTGAACTTTTTTGGCACAAATACTTGAGACCTGTAAAAACAGTTTATATTAAAACACCAAATATACTTTTACATGTTACAACATGTTAATTTCCTTTTAAAGTATTTTTGAATTGAATTGAACCCGTCTGGGAAATACTGCAGCAGCCACAACATTCACAGTCTTCCTTAAGTGTGTTCTTGGGGATTCAGCCAATCAGCACAAAGGAAAATGAATGGACTCCATGTTTTGAAAAACGCCAACCAATGGTGAGTCAAGAATTGTTGTACTTTGTATTTCAGCTTCCCAAACTACTTCTTCTTATGAATGTTTTCGTTTTATGAAAAATTCCACAAATAATTTGTGAAATCCATGAATAGACGGTGGTTTATCATACATTTCCTGTAAATCTTCATTTAATCTGGAGTTTCCAATAAAAACACAACTATAAATAGCTTTGTGTCAACAAAGGTGAAAATGTGATTTTAAAATGGCCTAATCTTTATTTTGATAATTCACAAATATTTGCTGTTCAGTATTCACAGAATTTTTCAGATCTAAAATATTTGAAAGAAAATGCAGTGAGAAGCTGAAATACCTCGACAACCTGCTGGACACATGATTGGCTGGCATTTCAAAAGCAGCCAATCCAAGAGCACCATTCAGTTTTCTTGGTGCTGATTTGCTGGAGCAGAGACTGTAGAAAAGCTGATTTCCACTGTGCGTATTGATTTATATTAAGAGATAATTTGCATTTGAACTATTAAAATAGGCAGTTATGAGTAATTTAAATCATTGGGAGTGAAAGGGCGTACGAACCAACTCTTGGTTGGTAGGAAATATTCTGTGGCTCGCCCGAAACCATAGAAACCATTAATGTGTTCAATGTTTTCCCTTTTTCTCTGTCATGCTGAAAACGTTGAGACTAAAACAAAATGGTGGTAAGAGTCAAAGAAAACATGAGCTTCTGTTGAGAAAGTCTCCAGTCTTTCTTTATGCTGATGATATTGGAGAATTACTAAGTGTTTCCGCTAATCATGAAGACATGAACACATTATTTTTCAATTAGAGGAAGGTTTCTCCATATGAGGAGTAGTCAGTCAGGGCTGGCACATTTGCAGCTTCCTGTTTGTCTGCACTGCTGTTGATTTGCTGGAGGATGACATGTTTCTCCCAATCAGTTCAGTTTGTTGCATGATTCATTTCTTCTGGTTTTGGAATAAAGTTATGTATTAAAATACAGATTAAAAATGCTGCTGAATTTACTACGTTTCTGAAACATTAAAAAATAATTGTAAGGAACTATTTAAAGCTCTTAAAAACCACATTTATCAGTATCTGCATGGCCAGACGCATCCAGGCATGGATGTTTTTTCTTTCTGAGAAAAACTGAAACAGAAAAACAAAGAGAAAGAAAATTCAAACATTTTCTTGAAAACAAACATCAATGTGTGAAGGCAGACATAATGTTCTTATAACTGCTTTATTCTGACACTCAGAAAACAATCAGTGGTTACTTATAAGTCACATACTGACAACAGAAAGATCTCAAGAATAACTCAAAGTTTCATTATAGTAAACCTTTTACCTATGAAATTAATCTCAAAGAAAATTACTTTACACCTTTCAGACAATATATTCTCATTATAGAAATTACATAGAGTTCAAGAACAAGTTGAGCTAAGTTGAAAATACACATATAACCCCACTTCATATAGGAATACATATAAAACAGTTACTCAGAGAATCATGATAGTTTGTGTGTATATACATTTAAATGTATTTACAGGTGCTGCAACTTTTTTGCTTGGTTTTCTTTTGTACAAATATTTTTAGGTGGATTAATAAACTCACCTGCCAGCTTATCAGGGCTTAGTGAATACTTGTAAATATAAACGATGCATAAAGAGTATTTTCTTCTCATATGTAAACATAGCTCAGTACTACTATTAATAAGTGTAAACAGGTGGATCAAATAGAGGACTGGTTGCATATTAAGCTGGTTATGAAGTACAACAAAAGCAAACAAACCTAAAAGTTAGAGTCTTTGTACTATAAATTCACATTTGACTTACTGTAAGCATGATAAAATGCATTAGATCTTTACACTATAGAATGCTAATTAATATTATATCTATAACATTTAAGCCTTGATAAGCTGACACTGAAACAGCTAATTTGAACTTTTTCTGTAAACTGTTGACAAACCCGTGCAGACTGTTAGGAGCGGCTCCGGACAACGACCCAGTCGTCCCGGAAATAACATCACACCAGGAAAAAAAGGAAAACGTTTCCCTCGCAGCGAGATGTTTGTCGGGATAACTTTCATTCACAAACACATCTCCATTTCCTCTTAATTGCATCGCATATGCTAATGCTTTAACATTCAGTGTAATTACCAAAAGCGAATTAGTGTATCACCACACTCTGATGACCGTAATGGATTAAAAAGTCCATTTCAGCAGTATGAATCACAAATCATTGGGAGAAACTATTATTAAAGCCGTAATCTATTTACAGAATAAAACATCTCCAAACTAATTAAGCTCCTTTTAAAATTACCAGAGCAACAAATCCAACAGTTTCCATGAAAATTTACTCTGAATGCGGAGCCAGAATGAAAAGCTGAGTCATTTAAACTCAGCCTTAGTCATCATTCTGATTTTAATATTTGACTGCAAATTAATACTGAATTTGTACTTGTAGTTAAAATTCGCTCATGGATGCTTGATGGACAACTTGGACGATGCACAGCCGCTCCTGTGATAAATTCCTCCTTCGTGTTGGAGGTTAGAGTTTGCTTTGATGGTAAATTAGGTTTAAAATGGATTCAGTCTCTCTTTACACTCCCTTTCTTTGTCTTTACATCCACCTGGCAGCTCCTCTGGTAATTAGACTGATGAATGAGCTCAGCCATTTTTCCTCTTACACTGTTGACCCTTCATGTCCAGACTTCCTGGTTGCCAAAATATGAGGAATTATCAACTAGTGACAATTTGGTCCAGATTCATCAGATCTTCCACTTCCACACAGAAATGGAGCTTTATAAAGTTTATTCTGTCTAATTCTGTTGGTGCTTTTATCTTAAAGCAGGGCTGACTTTCTATTTTTAATTGGGGCAAAATGATCACAAGCAAAATCTCCTTGCAAATTAAAATATTGGCAACATCAGCAGTTATTTGTCTTTAAATAACCAGGCTTTTTGCTTTCTCTTGCAAGTTCCACATCATTTTTACGCAAAAGCTGCACCCAAATCTGCTTTTATTTAATTTATTAAACTTGAAAACTGACTTTATTGTCCAGAAATTACTAAATTTTTACCTATTTTTTGCAATTGATACCTAGAAATTTTGTTAAATTTGCAAAACTAATTATAGGTTTTGGATATTTAATATTTTACACATACCTTTCTAACAACAAATCTGACTACTTTATGAATTTAATTAACATATTGCATGCTTATTTATTTTTGAGCCCTGGTGTCAAAAGGTTTGGACCGAGCAGAGAAAAACAAGATGAATTTAATCTGATTTGGACTGATTTAACGGTAATCAGAAATGTTTGTGAAACCAGAAAGCTTTTCATATGAGAAGATCCAAATACTCTACAAATATATATTTACAGAAAACATTTCTCTACGTCTAGAAATACAATAACTTACTGCTTTACAAATCGTTTTTTATGTGAGAAAATGCTATTTAAAAAAGCTAATGACAGATAAGAAAATCACTACAAAGATTTTGCAACTTTTCATATTTTCAAACAAAGGTTAGAAAATGATTTTGTAAACGGTTATTGATCAACAGAAGCTTTTTATCTAAGGGCTAAATATTAATGTTACGTTTTTCTTATTTATGAAGGAGATGGTAAAGAAAGTGTTTATCATCCTTCTGTAAGAGTTGTAATAACTTTATAAACTGTTGCTAAATGAGGCAAATGAACGGAGAAATGTTGACATTTGAACTCTCCAGTTGATGAAAATGTAAAATAATTTTCATGTGGTGATGTTATTCCAGGGACTGGGGTCACGCTCTCTTCCTGTTTGTTTCCTTCCTCCATCACAGTCAAACATTCTGATGCATATTCATATATATTTTATATCTATATAGCACATCATAGGCACACACATTCAGATCAGAAAAACAGAAAAAAGGTTGGTTTCATTCCAGGCTAGCTTGCTAATGGTGGCCACTAACTGAACACCCACTTATGAAACTCTCCTGTTTGCTAAAAATAATTCTCAAAGTTTGTTTTGCTCCTTATAAAACCCCTGAATGGCGGGGGGCATTCACACTAGCATAGAAAAGGAAGAACAATGTTTTTTTTCTTTTATATCCACATAAAGATCTTCTTTGACTCATGAGATAATGAGCTACTTTTCTTTTTTTTCTGATATACAACATTACTCTGTCATTTTAACATTTTGACTAAACATGACTAGCTGTATATGAGAGATTTCATAAATATGTTACATCTCAGAAAGAAATAAAAAAAAAACAAGTGCAACAGACATTTTTTTGAGACCACAAATACTTGTGTGAGTACATGTAAAGTAAATATTATTGGCAATAGCTTTGATTTTTCCCATAGCTGCACTGAAACCAGCTAACAGTAGCTACACAGAGATTTCCTTTAAATCACGTAGCACAAGTAGAAGTCAATGACTGGATGTGGACTAGCTCTACGTCTCCTAACGCCTGGGTGCTTTTGGGTTATATCTTCCTGTGTAAAATGTCTTATACAGTATATGTCTATCTATATAATACAGAAGCCGTAGCTCAGAACAGTACAGTCTTATTTTATCGTTCTCTCCTGGGGTCTCTAACAGAAAATAATAAGAACATCTCGGCTCCGTAGAGGTGGAGCGTGCTGGTTGCGGAAGAAAACAATTGTCCTGAATGCTAAGGAGTGAGCAGCTCTGGATCTTAGTTTGTGAACTTTAGTTAGCTTATCCTGAGGTAAAACATTTTGTGCAATGCTTAAAGAAAAGATCCCAGTGACTGGCGGAGGGGACGCCCCTCCTCTGCGCCATGTCTTTACTGTGCGTGTGCGACTTGATGTTAATAGTGAGGATATGTGGCCGAGTCTGCTGCAAACTCAGCCCCCATGCAGCCAATTCGCTCTCAGACGGCGGTTTAAGGGGAGGAACTGCCTGCTAACTGCAACGCTAACGCCACCAACCAGTTGGCTCATTCAGCTGCTGAAGGGAGGAGAAACAGCGGAGGATTCTTATCTTGATTCTCCAGAGTCAAAGGTGACGTCTTCAAAGTGCCGGTTTCGCTCTAATGAAAATCAAAAAACCAGAGAAGCTCAATATGCAATAACAGCAGCAAGCAAAGTTCTTAAAGCAACTTGTGTCGATCCGCTAATCTAATTTCTCTACAGTAATCCATTACAACAGTCGTGTAATAAATCTTATTTACAGGCTACAGTCTCTACTGATTTTTCATGGGTTTTATTTAATAAAACAGAGATTCTGCTCCTGCATGCTTTGCTGCGTTAAGTTTAGCGACATGTTCAGCAGAACTCCATCCCTTCTGGTACGAGCGTTTAGGAGACGTTTACCAAACAAAAGGAAAGAAACAACACAAAGTACACGTTTCATTTGGTTTGGTTTCAACACCAATCGTGGAGTTTCTAATCCATGAAGTATCTAATCCACTGAGCATTAGCCGAGACGGGAATCCACACTGCCGCCGGGCAACGCTGATGCTCCTCCTCTGTTTTCCATGCTGTCCCTGAACACAACCCGCCAGCGTTACTCCCCTAAAACGCGCTGCTGCAAAATAGCTGCATGTACGGCGATTTGCAGCAGACAGGGCCACCATGTGAGCGCTGCGAGTCCCAAAACAGAAATCTGACCTTCATGACCCTTAACTCTGCATGCTGTCATACCACATTGTACAGCTTGTAAGGCTCCACTGCAAGTGCACAACAGTAGGACACTCTAAGGTTAAAAAAGGAATAAAAAAAAAATCAAAGCAGTCAGAGCAGCGCTGTCTTTGAGCTAAGAATCACCAGGTTCGGTTCAGTTAGCTTCATTTCTGTTAAGAAATGGATTGAATCGCGAGGGTTGACCTGATTTCTGCTTGTTGTGTGTGAGACAGAAACAACCCGGTGTATTCTCAGTCAGATGACAGCGGCTGCATACACACACCTCTGAGCATGCACCATGCGTGCTGCAGTAGGCTCACATTGGTTATGGTGACACAGCACCCATATACAGCAATCAAGGTAATGCACATGTGCATAAGAGTTTCCAAAAGAAAACCAGAAGCACAAAATGAATACAAAACAAGAGCAGACCAATGATGACATCAAAGAGGTTGTTGTAGAGGGTGTCAGGGGAGGGGCTCAGCATGTGGACCTGGAAGCTTTTTGTTTGATTTAGCTCTCCACCAAGGACCGGCTGTTCGCTTGTTACGTGTTTGACTTTTTTTTTCCTTCTAAAGATAGTTTGTTTTTTTGTTTGGGGTAATGTCTCTCTGTCTTTTCTCGCTTTTTTTCTTTCTTTTAGTAGGGAGTGAAGCGACTGTACCCTCCTCTGTATAGGCTAGCCTGCAACATCAAAGATGAAAAAGTACCAATCAGTATTCAGGTGACAGCTTTAGTTGGATTCTCTTTCTCTGCAAATTTCCTTCCTTTAAATTTATTGACTTTCCATGTTGGAGCAACTTTGCGAATGGGAACGGTCAGCAGGCAGATTGATAGTTTGATATATTTAAGCCGATAATTGTTTTGCTGAATTGATTGCCTGACTTGATGCTCTCTGAGTGTGTGTTAGGAACAGGGTCAGCAGGAGCCGAAGTAGATTGGTGGACTCAGAGCTTAGCCAACGTAATTTATAATCTGTGGGAGCAAAGAAAAAAAAAGAGCACTTTCTTAAATGAAAGTCATAGAAACACTAATCCCAGATTTAATAGTTACTTTAATTAAAATAAAAGAAATAAGTATATTTTTCTGCTGGAGAAGTCAGTCCTTGCAGGGCTGTAAATTAGAGGGAAGCAGAAGGAGTTGAGAGCTTTAATCACGGCTCCTTTTCATGTCTGCAGAGGTGCCTGCACCTTTCTGGAGGGGCAAACCACCACAGGATATTAGCCCGTAGATTTAGCACCATGCTCAGGATATCTAGGGCAGACACACATAAAGCATGCAAGTGGGCCTATGCATGCACACCTGCACATGCACACACGCACACAGTCCCTCCTCTCATCTCTACGTGGTTCTGTTGCAATTAGGAAACTCCAAAGGCGGCCATGCGCCTTCAACAGCTAATTTTGCCTAATTTCAGGGAGTCCTCTTGCTTGTGCAAAAACTTTTATCCATATTAGATTCGTCTGCAAGCTGGAAATGAGAAAAGAGGGTTTCCAACCTCAGAGGAACTAATTATTGTATAGCTTTTAAATGCAAAATGACTTCACTCTGCTGGAGGAGCATTAATCAAATATGATTAAAGAATTAGGAACCAAACGGGTCTCCTCTCTTTAGCTCAGGAGTTTATTAGATATTGGCCTCTGTGCAGAGCATCTCCCAGCAGCTTCACTGCTTGTTTAACACACATACACACGCACACACACACACACACACACACACACACACACTCTCTCTCGGGTCTCTGTTAAGCTTCCCAAGCTCCCAACACACACCAAACATTAGCTCTGATAATTTCAGGGGCCAGATCCCGTCGTCTACTTTCAATCAAGAGGACGATTTTTAGAGTGAGGAAAATGGAAGGAAATTTGGAGGGAAAAGAAGAAAGAATAAAAAACATTCAAGCACATTTTTTTAATTAAGTAAATGAAGAGGGAGAAAGAAATGTCTTAATTAATGAAAGCTTTTAGCTAGCAGCTGCACCGGGGAACTTAAAGCTTTAGATTTTTCTTTTTATTGCTGTTGAAAAATCGCATGCATGCCGGAAATTTGAGTTATTTCTCAAGCAGAGAGCGCGCCTCCGATCAGGCTACTGGGCAGAAGAGGAGGGCGAGGCGACTCCCCGCCCCCCTCTGTCTCGCTCTCTTGTTTATGTCCCACGGCACGCTGCTGCATGCGTCTCATGGCCCTTAATCTCTGGGTTTGGTCTGCGAGCCCGCTCCCATCCCCTCCTCGCCATAAAACAAAACCAAAGAGAAACTGCCAGTTTCAAAAAAAGGTGATCTTCTCTTTTTTTTTCATCTTTTCATCTTTGATGTTACAGTAGCTGCAAAAGCTAGCTAAAAACAGACATTAACAATTGAACTTCATCCCTTCAGAGGTTTGGCTGAATGGAAACAAAAAGATGAGACAACTCGCTCGACGGCGAGTTGAATGAGGTCGGATAAAAACAGAAAAGCTTGAAAAATGAAAACAAATCATTCTCATTACAGGAGGAACTCGAGTCAAACCAATGATGCATGAGGTGAGAACGTTCGGTTATCGCACTAAATGTCTGAGCCAACTTCCACATGCCAGGGGCTTCACAGTACTGCTCAGTTCCACTAGGGTGTGCCGGAGAGCATGACAAAAACTAAATCAATTAATGAAAAAAAAAAATTAAAAAATAGGTGAATAAAAACCAGAATGGCTGCAGCCGCTGGTCTTTGTCGTACAGTGTGTGCTAGCTACCGTCATGATGTCAGAGTCGGGGTGCAGACAGGAAGAGGCGCCGCGCTCAGAGACTTACCATGGTCCCCACACTGTATGTGGCAGCAGGGCCAATCGTGTGGTGGTAGGGGTCTGCTGTTGCATAGACTCTGCCATAGCTGCATGACAAGAAGCACAGAGAAGACAGTCATTGATCTGTCATTGACGAACAGTTACGCATTCTTGTTTCATGCTCAGCTCTTCAAAGTCTGGCGTACAATCGGTTATTTCCCTCCTCGGCCTCCTGGGCTTCCCGCTTTATACCAGGTAGATCACAAAGGAAGGTTCAAAGGTTGGTGCATGGCGCTTGTCTTTGCTCTGTCGTCTTGATTAAGTGAATAGGTAAAGAGCAGAGGGAGGGAAGCGGCAGCTGGAGGGCTGGGTCTCTCCCCCGGAGCTTGTTTACCCGGGCTGCACACTGGGCTCACGCCCTTGTCTTTTCATTGCTGCTGGTTTGGAACTAATCCTTCCAATTTCCTTCTAAGACAGGACAAGATGTGGCTGCCTCATTTATTTATTTATTTATTTGACTTCACATATTCCTCTATTTACTTTGCTTCTGTGTGTGTTTTTTTTTCTCTTTCAGCGCTTGCTTGCAAATGAGGGTCTGCTCGGAGCAGATAAGGCACACCCAGCCAAGGACTGAGGGCACCGAATCAACCGGGAGTAAAAAAAAGGAAGAGGAAAAGCCCCTAAAGGAGACAACAAGACATCCAGCTCCCACGCCATACATGAGGTGCGTTGAGCTGCATACGATGCAAATACGTTTGTTTAGGTCCAGCAGGACATGGAGGGAAAGGTTCTGCTCAGGCTGGACGACGTGGCTTAGAAATAAAATTATTTTTTAAATACCAAATTTGATTTCTGATTCTGGAGTTGACCTGAATTCAAAGTTGTAAAATACAAAACAAGATGGTGGTTCTAACATCACTATGGAAACCTAATGGCATTGGTGTAAAAAAAACCTACATTTTCCAAAAATGATTGATGAAGACCTCGGTTACTGGATTTTAACGTCATCACAGCCACTGAGTCAGAAAAATTATGCAAAGAATCAGAGAAGGGGACACAGAGTTTTCTACTAAATGTGTAAATGTGAACACAACGACCACTAAACAAGGTTCAAGGTTATCACATTTCTTAAAAGCTAGAAAATAGGTTGGCTATGCTAGCTTGACTTTGACAACTTTAACATGTAGATGTGCTGCAGAATTCGGAGTTTCGGTTCTGTTTGCGAAACACCAACTCTTCTTCCATCAGATGGTCTGGTGTTGCTCCAGAAACACTTTAAGACCAACTAGTCTCCAGCTCAGCAGGTCAGACGGCCGGTCCAACGTGACAGACCCGGACCAACGTGACAGACCCGAACCAACGTGACAGACCCGGACCAACGTGACAGACCCGGTCCAACGTGACAGACCCGGACCAACGTGACAGACCCGGTCCAACGTGACAGACCCGGTCCAACGTGACAGACCCATCAGAGCCTCAGTGCAGCGCTGCGGGGTTCAGACCTCCCTCACCATCCTCAGCTCTGTTCAGTTACTTATGGGGCTTTGGTAATACAGCCTGTGAGCACTGTTGGCTTTTCAGATAATAAATGTTTCATATTTTACCAGGCTTTCACACGTCTTCCACAATCCTGGTGACCTAGCTCCAGATAAGTCCGATAAGGTATTGCTGAGACAATACAGACAAACGCCTATTGATCCAATGGGCATGACCGCTTATTCAAACGGAAACAAACAAACAAAGCACAACAAACAACCTGGGCGCGAATTACATTAAATCTCAGGGAAAGGTATGGGCAACAGAAACAGGAATTAAATCACTGAAAGAGAGGAAAAAGGCTGCTGTCCAATTCTGCTCCCGCCGAGAGCGGCTGCTCATAATTCGAGCCGCGCTCGGCGAGGCCTGATAAATCTTACATTATCGATATGATCTTCAGGCTCTCGGCAGGGCGTACGTTATCACAAGTGACATGCTCAATCCTTTCCAGATTAGATTCCCAAACCGGGCCAGATCCCGGCTGACAACGGCTTTCAGGGGCCGAAATGAATCAGCACGGCCTCTCCGAACCGAGCTCACCTGAACCAGAGTGACATCACTCAGAAGCCACTGGTCCGTCTCCCTCCACAGACCTGAGGCCATTCATAAATACCGCAGTGATATACCCACTCTCAGAGTCACGACATATATCACCGCTCTTCTCATCCGGTCCAACAAGGTTAGCCTTTTTCCCCGTGCATGTTCTTTAGCTCCGAGCTAAAAAAAAGAATACGGCGGCACGCCTAATGGATAAGATGAAATGAGAGGAAGAAAACCTCAGGAAACCCTAAATAACCTTCAGAGTATAGTAAAACGCTGATGAAGCAGCCACCATTCATCACCGCTACGTTTGGCCTGTAGATATGTTCCTTATTGTTAGGAAAACACTAATTACGTGAAGCTAAAGTCCAACCTCTGCTAGTCCTTCACTTCAACCAATTCTGCTTCAGTCAGTAAAGTTCTCGTTACCAAAGATAGCTTGTCGAATTGTATAGATGTTCTCATCATTCCCACCCGCTGCTGATGAAGAGAAATGCGTCTTCAACCAGTCACTACAACGGCTTCCTATGCAGAACAGACACAGGCTTCTATGTGTTGTTTAAAAGTCAGTCAGCAATGAGGCTGAGCGTGGAAAACTTCATGAAGCAAAGCACTTTGAACTGCCTTGTTGCTGAAATCTGCTGTACAAATAAACGTGACTGAATCACTGATTCATTTTATCGTAGGTTATGCCTCAATAGATACAGAATCCAACAAAAAATATCATGTTCTACCACTTTGAAATAAATATTCAATACAGTAGAAAAATGGAACTTAATATTTGGTTCAGAACTGGTCAGCTGTCAGTTTGGACCAGGTTTGCACTGCACCAGGCGTTTTGGTCCAATCTTCTCCAGATCGCTCTGGTTTTGGGCTTGTTGCCAGGCAACAAAGGCGTTTTGGTCCCTCCAAGGATTTTCCACTGAGTTCATTCGTGTCTACAAGTTTTTGTCTTCTTAAAGCCTTAAGAGATGTTCCTGCTGCGCGTTAAGAGAGATCTGGTCAGAAGAACATCGGGACCTCGCCGATATCCAACATGTTGGATTGACTTGGACTGTAATCTCCTTTAGCCAATCAGAAAGCAAGAGCCAAAGAGACGACCAACACTTTCACAAGTGAAGCCTTACAGCTTTACTTTCGCTAAAATGCTCCGATAGGTAGAGGTGTAACTACTACAGGTGATGAGTGAAGGAGAGAACCAGAGTTCTTAGTGGTTGGTTGGTGATCTAATGCTTATTTCATGCAATAAAATATTAATTATTTGAAAATCATATAATGAGATTATTACAACAAGAACAGTTTGAGTTGTGATAGCTGCACTCTAAACTAACAGACATCTATTAGTGCAAGATAATGACATAAGATTCAAGTCTTATGTTGTGGAAATAAAACCGTTGTTTAAAATCAGCCTGAGATTTTGCTTTGATGAGATTATTAAAATATCACAACAATGTTAGAGAACGTAATCAGTAATTTTGTTGTCAAGATCCTGACAAAATAACTTGAGATTTTACCAAGACTAGAAAATGTAGCTTTTATTTCTCAGAGCATGCAGATACTAAAACAGAAGAAAACATTTCTGTGATTCTTATGATCCAGAGCTGGATCAGAACCATGTCCGTAATTAAACGTCTCTGAGTGGTTGGTGCAGTGTTTGCTGCCTGGGAGGGAGTCTCACCTGTCACTGTAAGCAGCGGTGGTGGTGGGTTGGGCAAATCTGTATGCTGCATAGCCGCCCTGTTAAAATACCAAAGTATTAATTAGTGATTAAGCAAACCTGCTCAGAGAAAGGTTAGAACTCAGATACACAAGCAAACAACAATCCAGGCTGGGAGCTTTAAATGTCACTGCACAGTGTTCTGGTCCTGAGCCCACACCTTGGAGCTGCAGCTCCCCTCTGAGGCACCAGAGGGTGCTGTGTGATGTATGGTGCATGCAGCAGGAGGTGGCATTAGGGGAGTGAATGATGATCTGAGGAAGCAGCACATTTGGGGAGCAACTTATTGTGACACCAGAAGTCCAGTGGAGGAGCAGCAACAGGAGCCGACTCCCCAAATCCATCCCGTTTTCAGAGGAGGATGTTTATCCGCAGCCGCTTCTTCTTCTGCTCACAAATGAAGCAAGACGACGGCGTTTGGAGCGTCGGGGAGTCAGGACTGCTGTATTCATTTGCCAGAGTGGGGAAGGAATTAAAGAGCTCATTGTGAAGTGCTGCTATTACTCTCTCTGAAAAATGAAGCTGTTCTCCCACTGTTTTTCTATTAGCGCCACCAGAGTGTGTGCCTGTCTGTGTCCATACGCCGGATAGGTGGCTCTTAATAATGCATGTTTCCATTCATTTTTAAACTGGGGGAGGGGGTCGTCCGATTGAGCGTCCTCGTCCCGATCCAACTGGATCCAGTCGTTGTTTTCCAAGGGGACAGGAAGTCACAGCAGATGACTTCCTGTGGGACAGGCCTGCCTTGGGACCGCGCTGATTACGGCAACAGCCCCAACAAACAGGGGCCAATAAATCACCACATTGTCAAATCCTGCACACAGCAGAGCTGCACATTTGTTATTTTGTCAAGGAGGGTGTGTGTTAGCGCAATCATGTACGTGTGCAGTGGTGTGTTTCTGCATGGAGAAGCATGCATATGTATTAGCGCATGCAGTCCTGCTGCATGCATGGGCTGTTTCTGACAGCGCTGACTGATTGTTTGGGACACAGCCGGTCCTGATGCTCAAATCTGATGGTTTTCTGCTGAAATACAATTTGTTTTGCGTGGTCGTTCATGCTACTAATTAAATGCGACCGCAGCGGTTTACGTCCCCAAAGCGACCCGTGTGTGCAGAAGAAGAACGGAGACGTCACTCAGAAGCAGGGGTGGCGAAATGGACTTAGCTTCATCACAATATTGAGACAACAATAAACCTGATGATTAGTAGCTTCTTTAGGACACCGTTCACATGAAAGGCTGCATCTAATCATATTTTCACACTTATTGACACCCCTATTGAACAAACTAGAGAAAATTGTAAAAATATGGACACATTAAGTTTTTTAAACATCACTGTTACTCTGACAACAATAAATCTCAATTCTTATTATGATTATCGATATAATAAAAACAACCCAAACACAACACTGGATCGTTTCCAGATCAAATCTGCATTTTAGTGTTGTTTTAAACATGCCAACCGATAGGGGGCAGTGTGGCACTAAGCTAGAACCTATCAGCCAATCAGATTGCTTCAAAATGAACATGACTTCCTGTTAGGAATTAAACATGGCACCAGGAAGTTCGTCTGTAGGTTGAACAGAAATGCAGAAAAAAAAATTGATTCTGTAGAGAATCACAGTTCACCATCCTGCAATCGATTCAAAATGCTCAAAAATGTTGTACCAAACTATTTTAAATAAATGGTTTGATTCTTTTATTTAATAGTATTTAATGGCTTCTTCTTCATTTTCATTTAAGAAGAGGCCACGCAGCGAGGCTAGCTGGTAATTTAAGTTACAGAATTTTACGCACAAACCTATTTTTGTTCAAATATAAACTGATGGAATTAGATATAATGTGGAACTTTACAACATTGTTTTAAATAAATATTCTTTGCTTACGTTGTCTTTTTCTTGTGATATAAAAATTGGTTTCTGAATCGAATCGTGACTCTAAAAACTGGAATTAAATCGAAAGGCAATGAAAGATTTGCATCTCTAAGGCTGAACTACTTTCCCATAGTTTTCCCAGATATCCGACTGTGATTGGCCACTGCCCTTCACTGGAGGCTGGAGCAGAGCGGCCATGACTTAGCAGGCGCTAGCTGAGCCTCTCTCGGTCCGCAGCGCCGCTCTCTCCTGTGGCGGTGGGTGTCTGCGCAATAAAAGCTGTTGAAATACGGTCCTATCAGGCGGGCCGGTGTGTAAGCCATATATCACTTGGGTTTAGCGTTTCATTCCAGACGCCGCCGCCATGCGTCGGCCGGGGTGAAAGTGAGAAGCAGCTGTCACCACCGCCGTGCCCACTGTCATCTCGCTGTCTCAGCAGTGGGAAAATCAAAGGGACGAACTGCGCACACACACACACACACACACACACACACACACACACACACACACACACACACACACACACATCCAGGTTTGGACTGGTGTCAGAGTGGGGCAGTGCGGTAATTTCGGCATCATCTCCACAGCTTGTGTGAAGGGCGATGTGCAGAGGGACGGCAAATCGCTTTATCTGCTGCTGCTCTTATCTCCCTGGCGGTGACGGCTGTTTGGGGGCAACTGGCTCCACTCCGGCCCGGGCAGACCCCCCTGGGGCGGGCAGGGATATCCCGGCTAGCCCTCAGAGCCAGCGCCGCACCGGAGGAAGAATCTAAATGACCCAACTTGACACGGGACACTGAGTCAGGGTCCGCCTCTTTGCCAAAGTCTGAGATCACAGGAAGGGAGCGAGGAGGGAGGAGCTGAGGGGGTTTTAAATTTTGTTGTCGGGTTTCTTGGCACGGCGGAGCGAGGCCTAATCGACGCGGGCTTGGCAGCGGCGCTGCTGAGCAGATCACATTTTTGTCTCCAGGGCTGAGCCTCGTGTCTGCTTCAGCCAGGAGGAAAAGCCGACTGTACTTACATAGATCTCTGCGCCGTAGAAGCCATCTTGGTACACCACCCTGCGAAGTTGGAGGACAGGAAAGAGGAGTTAGTCTGCATGCCAGGGAGGTCAGGTTCCTGGCAGCCGCAGCGCGCCGTTCCACAAATAATGAATGACACGTTAAACTGAAAGGTGCAACCATCTCAAATCCCTGTCCAATTTTCTGCTCTGCTAAAGTTGTTTGTCTTTCCAGTCGCTGCAGTTGTTGGAGAGAGGAGGGGAGGACAATAGGAAGCGGAGAAGGCAGCTCTGTCACATGACTCTGCTGTATAAATCAAGCAGCTGCCAGCGGCAGCAAAGGGCCTGAGAGTGGGAGGGAGGGGCTGTGGGATTTCTGGTCTGATCCTGATCTAATCACAGATAGGCGGCCGCGCCGGGCCCCTCGCGTCGGGCCGGCCGGCCGCCATCACACCTCTCCCACGGCCACACACACCTCGGCTGATAAGAGGCAGCAGATCAGCGCCGGTCCTCTGAGATCGGCCGCTAATCTCAGCTCTCACCCTGCAGGTTCTCAGGTTTACTCACATCTCCTCTATGCTTTTAATCTCAAAAACCTATAAAGTCACTCAAAACTAATTTATTTATTTCACCATTTGATTTGAAAAGCTGAAACCAGTATAAATTTATTACTGTGTGCTTTATTTCTGGTTATTTTAATGATTCTGGCCTACAGAAAATGACAGCAGACCAATAAAAAGGGAATCTTGTTTGGGGCTCCTTTTGCATGAATCAGAGATGAGGAGCTTTAATCTTCAGGTTTTATCTGAGTCCATTGGAAGAACTCACATACTCATAAAAGTTCAACTGGAAAAGAACCGGCATACTTCTTATATCATCTTTTTCTAGCTTCACGTCGTGTTATGCTGTTATTCCCTCATCAGAAACATTCCTGGATTGTTTCCTTGATGTTTTCATCCGTGTTTGAGGAATCCTTGATTTCCACTCAGCTCTTCCAGACCAGTGGCAGCCGCAGGTAGCAAACACCTGGTGGAACTGTGAATGTCCAGACTAACTTCTCAGCCCAATTTCAAATAATAAAAAATACATTTTTAAAGTGGTGGTA